TTTTTAATTATTTCCTTTTATCTATTTGAGATGTGATAAGTTTAAGAGTACGTAGGGGCACTTCAATAATATATCAATAACTTACCTCAAAGTGTTAATTATCCATACCTCAGAGGAGGTATATGAAAATAACTCTTTCTCCGTCCCACATTTTATTCCATTTATTTGGTTGTATTCGTTTACCAAATGCACCAGTCCATCTACCAACTTAAATTGTTTTGGTAGCTTTTGGAGATTTTTTTTTGAAAATAGCTTTTGGAGGGTTTTAAAAAGCATTTTACATTTTCACCTCCCTCCTCCACGTTTTTTCCAACCAAACACATAACTTCACCTAGGGATTGGACGGGTTTCAGGACTAAGGGTTGGTTTGCAACTGATTTTAAAAAAGCACTTCTCAGCTTTTGGTTTTAAAAAAGCACTTATTTTCCCAAACACTACAACTTTTATTTTTCTCGGCTTCCGCGTCAAAAGTGCTTTTACTTTTTCTATTACACAAAAGGCACTTATTTTACCAAACACTACCCACTTTTACTTTTCAAAATCACTTTTTTCTCAAACACTATCAACTTTTATTTAATCACTTTTCCCCATTTCATTAAAAAAAGCACTTTTTTAAAAGCAGAAGCTGTTGCAAACAGACCCTAAGGAATTCAGATCCGGTAGTGACATGGGTACGCTCTGGGACCAGGCTGGGCCAGGTCGGTACCATCCATTTAATTATTTTTTTTTTTTAAAAATAGTGCAGTTGGGCCCGGTTGAGACTAAAAAATCGAGCCTGAAGCCCGCCCCTGTGCCCCATATAACTACTGGTCTGGGCCTAATTAGTAACGGGCCGGGAAAGGGTCGGTCTGTCCTAATCCATCCCTAACTTTACCTTACACCCAAATTTCTCTAACCAAACAAAGCCTTGGGCACTAAACAAAAAAGGAGTGCAATGTAGTTGGAACTTGGAAGGGGTAAAAGACACGCATTTAATAAATACATAAACATATGATCATGAAATTGCTAAGTATGTAATGAGTGAAATGTTAAAGTGCACATAAGCAAGAGATTATCAATGATTAGGAATGATGAAAGTGTTAAGAGTGTTAATATTAAAAGATGAATATGATGTACAAACCAATAATCAATAACCAACTGAATCATGCAAGTAAAGCATATAGATCGAATCCCACACTTAACTCCTTTTCGATATTAGATTATACATATAATTCTATTCTATTATCATAGTCAACTTTGGTATGAACATTGCACAAACGTTTTTTAAATATATAAATGAAAATCAATATTGTAACTTACTGATCTAGCCTAATTAGAGTTGTTCTGGCTTGAGATTTGGTTAAGCCCAATTAAATCTAATTTGGTTTTTCTAATCACCTAGTTTGATAGTATCCCTATTTTATTCTTGTTCAATATTGGTCGGGTATGTTCAAAACTGATGTGTTTTGATTTGGTTTGTTTAATTCTAATATGATTTGGTACGGAACTAAATAATTTTGAGTGAACATGTTAACTAATTTAAATACTCGTAATATTGAAAGAGAATTGCAATTTTGTCTAGTTAAATATAACGAACCACATCACTGGTTGGTGTACATTTGGTGATATGGTTACATTTCCTCATCTTAGAAGTTAGAAACCGATTTTACCAGTGATACGGAGTATAAAAAGATAGATTGCACCTAACATGTGTATACTTAATCATTTTAAATAGATATGTTGTGCCTAACTTTAATAACTATTTAATACATTTGATGCAGTTCACCACAATCAATAGAATATATAAATTTTATTCTCTATAGAAATTCTTGGTGTACACGTTCTTATACACACCAGTACACCTTCGAGTCTGCGAAATGTTTTTTTTTTTCTTCTGTGAATGTCTGTTCACAAACAAAACCAGCTTGTTTTTTCTGTGGAAAATTTTACAGACAAAATAAACAAGTTTTTGTCTGTCGATTGGGATTCATAGACAAAAAATAACTCTCACAGACACGAAGGTGTACTGATGTGTATAAGAACGTGTACAATTTTTTTTTTGAAATTTTATACCCGAGTACAAGTTAGTAGAACATGAGAAATGTCTTCAAAATATTTAATTCATCAACAATCTTTTTGTTTACACACGTTCAATACGTATTGCATCACAATCTCTCACAAAACATTATTATTTATGGATTATTAAATTAGGAGTCCGTTTGAATACCTTATTTCTCGTCTTATCAGTCATATCAATCAACTTTTTCACTAAATATACTCCTTCCGTCCCTAAATTTACTTCCAACTTTCCTTTTTCGTCCGTCCCAAAAAGAACTTCACTTTCCCTTTTTGGCAAAGAATTTGTGGTTCACAGCATTTCTCTCTCCTCTGCACAACTCTACACCACACAATTCTCACTTTCTTAATCACCGTGCCACTTTAATTTGGAAGAACAATCAGGGACGGAGGTAGTATAACTTTTGATCTTGTTCGCTGTCACGCTGAATTGTGTAATAATAAAAATAAATGAGGTTGAAGTTACTTTTGTGGCTGAATTGTCTGAAGTTACTGTAGATGATAATTTTAAGACATGGACTACTCCTCTTATCAGGTTGACCTTTTAGGATGGAACCCCAGATCTTAACATGGTATCAAAGCCAAATCGATCCCCTTATGAAAAATAACAACACGATTATAAAAAAATGACAATGACAAACCGACGGAAAAAACGAATGGCGACACGATCCAGACGAAGTGTCTGGTCGTGAGAAGGGGTGTTAGAATCCACACCGGAAAAGTTTGAATCAACAAAGTGCTATATTAAGGCATGGACTACTGCTCCTATCAGGTTGATCTTTTAGAATGGAACTCCGGTCTTAACAGTTATTTTTCATGTAACTTTTTCTTTATTTCATTAATAAAAATATTATATTTTTTCATAACTCAACAGATTCAATCAATTCAGTCACTTCACCCAGAATTTCATAAATTTGAACAGAATCAATCGATTCAACCAATCGGGTTCTAAATTTCTTAAAGAACATCTCTATAAAATATGTGTAATGTCACAAGCAAGAAATGTACGACACAAACATTTATCTATGCACACATACGATAACATATACGGAGTACAAGAGAAAGACGGGATACATCGGGAGAAAGAGACGATACTGCAAGAGGTGGGGACTTGTATAGAAATTTGTTTATTTTTGAACTGTTATAACTTCCTTACTTACACTCCATTTATTACAAAAAATAAATTAAAATTATATTTTTTTGATTTTTCATATGACAACAATATTGCATGCATAAGATTAAAAGAGTCGAAGATCTAACTGTTGAGAGATTTTAGGGTAAAATATATCTTACAGCTGGTTATACCGTGCGCACGGTACAACCAGTTCTTTTTTGGCTTTTGCGTTTCTTCGTTTCGCTCCGGAAGAATGACCGGCTTCGCACCAAGCCTCGCACCAGGTTTCCCTGATCTCGCTTGCTTCTTCGATCTGGCTTCGCACCTGGTTGACTGTCACCAACGCTTAGTTGCTTACCACTCGTCTCCTTCTCCTCCAACTCGGTCCTCATCACCGCCGCTCACCGCTCGTCCCCTTCTCCTCTAGCACAGACGCAGACACGCAGTGGATCCGCCAACGTAGTTACCTCTCTTCCCTCTGTCTTTCTTTCTACTCTTTTCATTTTTCTCTTTTTCTTATACAGTTTTGCTGTTTGAGATTGTGATTTTTGAAGATAAGGAGAGTCTACTCGTTGCTGAGGAATCCTTACTGCTATTGATCTCAAATGAGTTTTATATTAAACTCAAATGAGTATACGCATAAACAAAATGAGTATGCGCATACACAATGAATATTAAACACATTAGAAATGCGTTTTATGTTAAACTCAAATGAATATAACGCCCAAAATCAATGAGCATACACAAATGAGTATTTGAATTTTTGATACTCATTCTGTGGTTATGTATGCTCATTTGGTACCACTTTATTCTTATTTTAAAATGTTGCACATTTCAAACCTATCATACTACATTATATTCACATATTGCATTTAATTGGAATTGATTATAAAAGAAAAAATAATTTAAGATTTTTTTATAAAAGAAAAAATAATAAAAAGAAAGTAAACTAGAAGATATGAAGCAAATATCACTGATGCTCATTGTTAGACTCCTAATACTCAAAAGAACAAACATGATGCTCAACAAAATTGCATCAATACTCATTTAAGAGAAGTCGTGATTTTCACCAGAATTACAAAATTACCACCGGCTATACGGTGCCGACCGTACAGTCGGTTGTATGGTATACACTTTCTAGATTTCAGTCTCAAATATTTTTAATCACATCCAAATTCTATAATCATGATCTCATGATTCTAATTTTGTTTTCACCTTTCAGTTTTTCTTCTTCAAAAATAGGTCCAAAATAACAACAAAAATCAAACTTCAAATTTATTTAATTTTACATTGGATTGTTTTAGTTTTCAAATAATAATTATTCGTAAAGAATATATTGACAAAAATGATGTATAATAATAAAAATAAGGATTTGATTAAAACATTATGTTGTATGAATATATTGACAATATTAAGTTATAGAAAAATCGAAGTGACTAAAAGATAATGAGAAAAAATTATTATACTTCTTCCGTCCCGCCAAAATTGACTCATTTTTCTTTTTCGAGAAATCTTATTAAGATTGACTGATATCAACTTAGTAAAATTTCTATGACTTAAAATCATTTTTATTAGTTTAGAATTCAATATCAATTATATAAAGGTAGATTCTATGGTACCCATAAGGTACCGTACCTTTGTCCACATGGACCAATCAGAATCATGCAGTTGAATTATTTAAATCTAAATTAAGAGGAATTTAATAATTTGGAACAATCAAATGCATAGTAGGTACGGTACCCCATTTTTTAAATGGGTACCGGAGTTGTCAGCTTATATAAATTCATTTTTTTAATAATCAAATTCACTGCCACCCTCTTGTTTCTAAATGTTAGTGGGACCCTAATCAAATGTGGACTATTTGCAATGAGATGTACGGTTTTAAGCCTAAAATTTTTTAATTGTGATTATCTCACAAATGTTTCACACTTTCACCTTTGTTTCTTACTTTCTTTCAAGAAAACATCCCCTTTCTATTTGAGTTCTATTTGGTTCTTTTAATTAACTTTGTCGCGAACCAATAGATATGGCGATGTTAGCTCGTCTGCGCCACTCCACCATCAACACCCTTTGCCGGAGTCGCGATATCATCAGTTCTCCAACCGGTCTCTCCGGCCGTAATCCCATTCTTTCAGGCGATTATGCTTCTTACAAGAAGACCGTACCCCATTTTCCCAACCCACGGTACTTCCTGCAAACCCCACGCGCCGCCTTTTGCTCTGCCGCCGGCAGCCGGAACAATGCGAGACCCTTTGCTGCGTTTCTTTCCGGGTGGAGATCCAGAGTCGCCGCAGATCCGCAGTTCCCTTTCAAGGTGGCCATGGAACAACTGGTCGGCGTCAGCGCTTGCGTCGCCGGCGACATGGCGACCCGACCCAACTTCGGCCTCGACGAGCTCGATTTCGTCTTCTCCACTCTGGTCGTAAGCTGCATCCTCAACTTCCTGCTGATGTATCTCCTAGCGCCGACCCAATCATCATCATCCTCTGCCGCCCGATCTCCGCCGTGGATTTTCGCGAACTGCCCCCGGAGCCACATGTTCGAGCCGGGAAATTACGGCGTCCTCCGCCGTCTGGGAACGTTCGCCTACAAGGGTGCCCTGTTCGCGGCGGTCGGATTCGGCGCCGGACTGGTGGGGACCGCCGTCTCCAACGGGCTGATCAAGATGAGGAAGGAGATGGACAGCGGCTTCGAGCCGCCGAACAAACCGCCACCCACGGTTCTGAATGCGGCCACCTGGGCAGCGCACATGGGAATCAGCAGCAATTTGAGGTACCAAACGCTGAACGGAGTCGAGTTCTGGCTGGCGAAGAGTCTGGTTCATCGGCCATTGTTGTTCAAGAGCTCTGTTGTGGCGCTGAGGTGTTTGAATAATGTGGTCGGAGGGGTGTCGTTTGTGCTATTGGCTAGGCTGACTGGTTCTCAGAGTGTGGATCAGGGGAAATCAACTCCGGTCTAATTCTTTCAATTGACCATGTTTTAGTTATTTGTACTTCGTACTATGAAGAACTTTTGGTCCAAATAATGATCCAGTAATGCTTCCTCTATACGACATTTTATTGGCTAATCAATTTGTGTGCATATACAATTTGACAGAAGTTCTATGAAGAGAATCATTTTCCAAACAGACAGAAAGACTCAACATTTAATCGGGGTGTAAAATGGTGTACAAATGCAGGATACAAATAGCCTTGGTGATAATGATAACCTTATTCATATGCTCGGGTGCATTTGGCTTGGCATTTGGTTTCTATGAGTCGATATCTTTAACACAAAACATTTGGTCATCATAAATCACGTACTTCGTAGTTAGTTCCGAATGCCAAGCAAAAAATACTCTACATCAAACTTTTGCCATAGCAAATTAAACTTAAATTGAGCCGATATAAGATCATGCTAGAAAATAAGATCATACTAGAAAATTATAGTCCAACTAAAAACATCATCGGTTCATGAACTGATAAACCACCTTTACATTTTATGAATATTTTCACTTATATCGGAAGTTTTGGGTCTAGTATAATCTCATTAGGTTTTTAAGTTTGATGTGAACACATGTAGCTAGTCTAGTAACATTTGGGGTATGTTTGGCAAATGGCTGTTAGCTGTTGTTGTTAGCTGGTTGTGTCAGCTGTTTCCTAGCAGCTGATTGTGTTAGCTGTTTTGACCGGCTGGTTATGTTAGCTGATTATAGATAATTGTTTGGTAAAATTGGTTGTTTCGAAATGGCTGATAGAGTGTAAATTGAACCAGCCGAATGAATAAGCTGCCCCCCTTAGCTTCTTCAACAATCCATTTTTTCAGCTTTTCAAACTCAACAAGCTAATTTTAAAAGTCATTTACCAAACATTATTATTAGCTTCTTTGACAAATCAAACAGCTGAAATGGGTCAAACAAGCTAAAAGCCGATTGGTAAGCCATTTGCCAAACATATCCTTGATATTATGTGTATCTTAATATTATCTATATCTAGTTTGATATGGTTTGTTCAAAACTAATCAAGTCTCGTTTGATCTAGCTAGCTCAAACTGAAATAATTCAAAGAGAAAACTTCCTTTATATGACTCATTCACTCATAAGGTGTAAATGTTTACTCTTTTTGTTATTTTGTTCGGACTAAGTAATCCTCCTTTAGAAATAAATTGTTCCATTGATATTTTTCTATTGTGGATAGCTTCTTCAATCTTCATTTAAATTGAGTTGAACTTCTTGGTTGTCTTCTCGTGTGGAATGTGGGGATTTGGATTTGCTTTAAATTGGTTTGAGATATTGGTGGATTCTTCATTTTATGACGAGTCACATGCTACAAGACACTAAGAAACCTAGCATCATTATGTTTATATTTACGTTAATTACGTATGTTTTATAACCCAATTCTTAAAACCCAAGTAGAAATAAAACTCCATCATTGGACGTGGCGTGAGCTTATTATTATGGAGAATGCGTTGTGTACACAACCAGTTACACAACCGGTTACACAGCACAAAAAGGCCCACCTCTCCCCTTTTCCACGGTATTATCTCTCCCTTCCCTCTTTCCTGCTTTTCCTTTTTTCCTCTTCCTCCCTGCGCCTAACTCTCTTCTCCCTCTTTTCCTCTTCTCTTTTTTTCGTTTCTCTCCCTCCCAGGCCTAACTTTCTTTTCCCTCTTTTCCTCTTTTCATTTTCGTTTCTCTCCCTCCCTCCGCCCAACTTTCTTCTCCCTCTTTTCCTCTTTGCTTCTCCCTCATACTTCGTATATAACTCTCTCTTTATCTCCCTTTCTCCATCTTTTTTCTTTTCTCTTCTTGTTTTCTTCATCTCAAAACCTCTCACTTTTTTTTGCAGATCTAAATCCGCACAGAAAAATAGGAGTCACAACTTCAATCTACCTTGCTCTCTCAAATATTATTCATGAGGTAATACTTTATTTCATCTTTTTTGTGCATCTAGGGTATATATATATATTCCCTTTTTAATTTTGTATATCACATATGTTGTTATGATATGTTGTTATGATGTTGAATACTAGTACTTATTACACTGTTATACTAAATAGATTGTGATGTTTATCATTTAAAATTTTGTTTGTATCACATATAAAATACAAAAATTTCTCTGTTAAATTGATTTTCACAGACAAATTGTAAAGATTTGTCTGTATCGCAGACATTTTAGATTAGATTTTTTCATAAAGTGTCTGTGATACAGACAATTTTTTTAATTTTTGTCTGTGCGAAAATTGATTTTCTTCATAAATCGCCACTCAATTTGCTTGTGTAGCCGGTCAAATTGTCTGTGTACAAACAATTATGTGAATGCATCTTGTAAAGAAGTACGTCATAGAACTTCTTTATTATAAAGTATATGTGATACAGACAATTTTTTATTTTTGTCTGTGTGAAAAACGTTTTTCTTCATAAATCGCCACTCAATTTGCCTGTGTAGCCGGTCACATTGTCTGTGTACAGACAATTATGTGAATGCCCATGCATCTTGTAAACTATCAGTAACTTGTGTATGTCTTCTCTATGACTTCTTTATTGATGGGGTTTGAATATTACGTAGTACTTGTTTATTGTCAAGTTAATGTATCATTTAAATTAAATGTATTTTAACTAAAAGGAGCTTTAACCATGTTACTGCTTCAGGGACATCTTCTAACTCTTCGTGACCAATACTAGTATCTTGAAGGCCCGTGATTGAGAACTATGTCTCTTTTCGAATCGGGAGCAAGACAGGTGATATTTCTAATCGTGGCATGAAATGGATTCAGAAGATCAAGATTGAGAGATTTAAAGCAAATGATAACTACATACTTTGTTTTTGTAATTAGTTGTTTGTATTTGTTTTGATATTTAATTGTTTGTCATTTGTTTATTAGTTGTCTGTATATATTTTGAGTTGTCAGTAATGACTTGTCTGTCATGTTATTGTGAGTTGTCTGTAAGAGTCGGGAAGTTGTCTGTAACTCATATTTAGTTGTTTGTCATTTCATTGTGAGTTGTATGTAATTTGTGGGTTGTCTATTGTCTGTCTAGTTATACGTATTGTCTGTCTTTTTTATGAAGCCTGTGCCAAAATGGTATTCACAATAAAGTAATGTATGTATGTGTATACTTATTGTCTGTATGTGTACACTTAATGTCTGTCTCGTAATACTAATAACATCTCAAAAATAAACATCACAAATTACATACAGACAACTCAAAACGAAAACAAAAATTAACCATCAATTACAGACACATAGACAAAACTTCACGAGTCTTTATAACAAATACAGACATTGCACTTACAAATTTTGTTTCAAGTATATCTCTAACAAATTGTGATCGGGTGAATAACGGTTTTTTATGTTCAGGGTCCTAATTTCGTTTGTCTTAGTCTGTGGCTAAGACAATTTTTTTGTATTCATTTAAAAAAATATAAAATAATAGTTTGAACACTGACACGAATAACTTATTTCAACATATATACCTATTAAGGTAAAAAGAATATTTATACAAACAATTATGGTTTGAACAATTATGCACACATAATATAAATGAACAATTTTTGTTTGTACACAAACAAAAACTTTATTGAAATTGTCTGCACACAGACAAAATAAGCTTGTTTAAAAATTATCTGTATACCAATAATTGGTTAAAGCTTATCTTTACAAATACACTTAGAAACAAACTATATTTGTCCGTGACCAAAAAAGAAAGTTTAAATACACTATCATATTAATACAAGATATATAACTGTGCTACAAACAACTAATTACAAAAACAAAGTATGTAATTATCATTTGCTTTAAATCTCTCAATCTTGATCTTCTGAATCCATTTCATGCCACGATTAGAAATATCACCTCTCTTGCTCCCGATTCGAAAAGAGACATAGTTCTCAATCACAGGCGTTCAAGATACTAGTATTGGTCACGAAGAGTTAGAAGATGTCCCTGAAGCAGTAACATGGTTAAAGCTCCTTTTAGTTAAAATACATTTAATTTAAATGATACATTAACTTGACAATAAACAAGTACTATGTAATATTCAAACCCCATCAATAAAGAAGTCATATAGAAGACATACACATCCTACTGGTAGTTTACAAGATGCATCACATAATTGTCTGTACACAGACAATTTGACCGGCTACACAGGCAAATTGAGTGGCGATTTATGAAGAAAATCGATTTTCGCACAGACAAAAATTAAAAAATTATCTGTATCACAGACACTTTATGAAAAAATCTAATCTAAAATGTCTGCGATACAGACAAATCTTTACAATTTGTCTGTGAAAATCAATTTAACAGAGAAATTTTTGTATTTTATATGTGATACAAACAAAATTTTAAATGATAAACATCACAATCTATTTAGTATAACAGTGTAATAAGTACTAGTATTCAACATCATAACAACATATCATAACAACATATGTGATATACAAAATTAAAAAGGGAATATATGTATACCCTAGATGCACAAAAAAGATGAAATAAAGTATTACCTCATGAATAATATTTGAGAGAGCAAGGTAGATTGAAGTTGTGACTCCTATTTTTCTGTGCGGATTTAGATCTGCAAAAAAAAAGTGAGAGGTTTTGAGATGAAGAAAACAAGAAAAGAAAAGAGATGGAGAAAGGGAGATAAAGAGAGAGTTATATACGAAGTATGAGGGAGAAGCAAAGAGGAAAAGAGGGAGAAGAAAGTTTGGTGGAGGGAGGGAGAGAAACGAAAATGAAAAGAGGAAAAGAGGGAAAAGAAAGTTAGGCCTGGGAGGGAGAGAAACCAAAAAAAGAAAAGAGGAAAAGAGGGAGAAGAGAGTTAGGCGCAGGGAAGAAGAGGAAAAAAGGAAAAGCAGGAAAGAGGGAAGGGAGAGATAATACCGTGGAAAAGGGGAGGGGTGGGCCTTTTTGTGCTGTGTAACCGGTTGTGTAAACGGTTGTGTACACAACGCATTCTCCTATTATTATATCGATCCAAACTGATGTCATTGAATTTTACTAGTACTAGTAAGTGGAAGTCTAGTCATCTTGGTTTATTGCTTTCTGTGTTTGGTACGAATATCAGACTCCCACCCTAAATTGAACCAAAACTCCGGGCCAGGGTACGTCGAAATCAATGCAAGGGCAACAGAGTTCTGGTTTGTCTGGGCATGGGCTATTTTTTTTTAGTTTGTAGGCATTTCGATTTTATTTTCTTTGACCTAAAAATAATGGGACATGGACGTTGTATTAATTAATAATTATGAATCGAAAATAGAACTAGTTGAAGAATGGAACCTGAACACGCAAATGGTTGCAGGGTCGGAGTCAAAGCACTGGACCAGACTGAGCCGATACAAAAAATATTTTTGGAAAATAATTTACATAGAATTTTTTACTCTAAAAATTTAGACATTTTTAAAATTTGGGCTGAGCTAGGATCAGGGTTGGCCCTCCCCTAGCTCCGCCCCTGATTGGTTGTCTTGATCGATCCCTGTTACTTCATAAATTCTAATCCGGGAGTTAGCCTATTTAAATCCAACATGAAGAATGGAACCTATTTAAGTCTAATTTTAGGTGTATTTGTTTTGCAAATCTGGTCTCAAATCTAATACGAAGTACGTTACACACTATATAATCAAGGTCTGACATAGTGATATGTTAATGCCTAATACCTAATCTAATTTTGTATGGTTCACGACCCAAATAAGTCAATACAACACATGAATTATTTATTTTCAAGCGTGTGAATTGTTATTTCACCTTTTATAGCAAGTGGAAGTGACTAACTTGTGCTGTTATCACATAGCCAATCGAACTATTGACCTAGCTATAAGAAGATAATTGGTTGTACTCTATTGGTGGGCATAGCTTAACTAGTAGATATGCGGTGCCACAAAAGTAAATATCATGTTCGATTCTTGACAATTACGATAAGAGGTTACTAACAAAAGTGCATAAGATCTCTACGAATGCTTGAACCAAAGTCTCATTCACTATCTACCGCTCTATCAGTCTGTGATTAAATTCGATTTACATCATCCCAGATTCGATTAACATCCAATATACCAAATATATACTACCGAGTATATAATAATGCAAAAAAGTGGACACACGTGAAACAGGTAACAAAGTAATGTACATCCAAAATGGGCTCTACTATCTACCTAGCTCACTCTATTTGTTGCAAGTTGCGACATTGTCTATTGTACGTACTATCCTTCTCGTCTTTGCTGCAATGTACCGCAAACCGACCCAAGCTTTGAGGAAGGTCGCTAACCTTTAGAAAAATTCCAATATTATTGGGGAATGGGTATAGCCGTTTGGCGGGACTATTTTTCAGTTTATCAGGCTTATAAGTTAACTTCTTCATCAAACACGTAACTTTTGTTTTTGCGTGCTGAATTGTGTAATAAGCAGAAAAACTAAGGTTGAAGTTACTTTTATGGCTGTATTGATTGAAGTTATTGTAGATTACCATTTTAGTTATTTTTACATATAATTTTTTCTTTATTTTATTAATAAAATATATTTTAAAAATAATTTTTTCTTAAATCAGCAGAATCAGCCAATGCAACCACTTCTGCCAGAACTTCATAAATTTCAGCAGAATCAGCCAAAACAACCGATTTTTGTGCTACCAAACAGGCTCCTCATATTACATAGATCTATATTAAAGCTGGCCCGAACCGAGCCGTCCCAAGCCTTTTCGTGTCGGGTCTGGCTTGAAACGATTGGTACATATAAAAGTTAAGTTCATACACAGATTTTATGGACCAGTGTTTCTAGAGATTTGATATCACATGATTTACATAATTACATGCTCTCTACATCAGAGTTAAGTATATCAAATCAGACTTGAATTAAACATACAAGATTAATTTGAGGATTGGACCATTCCTCCGTTCCAAACCGTTGCTAGACGGCCGACCTCATAATCCCCATATCCCCCCAAATGTCTCACCATTCATCTTGGCTCGGCCCGCTAGGCTCGGTTATAGACCCCTAGTGATGCATTCGGGGACTTTCTCTAGGAGTGTTGTCTCCATTTTTTTTTATATATACATGAAATGCCGGTCGAGCCGACCGCTACTGATAGATTTTCTTCAAGTGTTCAACATTCCATACGCAAGTCGGGCGTCCTGCTATAGTTTGTAGTGTGAAGGTCCCATGTGCAAATTTGCACTATACCTTGTACGGGCCTTCCCAGTTCTTGGCCATCTTTCTGCCTTTAGGCAGCTTGCTCTTCTCTCGTTTCCTTGGGACTAAGTCTTCCACCTCAATGGCCCTTATTTTGACCGCTTTGTTGAAAGAACGCTGGGTGACCCGATGGTACTCTTGCATGCGACGGGAGGCAAGATCCATTCGTTCTTCAAAGAAATGGAGCTCCGCTCGCTGGGTTTCCTCATTCGGCTCGGGTTGATAGTGCATTACTCCATGCGTTGGCATTAATACTTTGGTAGGATTCTTGGCCTGGAATCCATATGCTAGAGCGAATGGGGTTTCCCCGGTGGCTGTCCTCGGCGTTGTTCAGTATGTCCACAGAACATAGTTCAATTGGTCCGGCCAGGTGGATGCATAATCCTCTAGCTTCTTATTGATCCCATCCATGATGGTCGAGTTCATGTTCTCCACTTACCCGTTGCCCTGAGGGCACGCTATCGAGGCCTTAGAGTGTCTGAGCCCTGAGGCCCCATTTTGCCAAGAACTCCTTGAAGCCCCTGTCAATGAATTGTCAGCCATTATCCGTGATAATCTGCTCGGAGACCCCAAACCGACATAAGATGTTCTGCCAGACGAAACGATGATACTGATACTCAGTGACAATGGCCAACGGCTCGGCTTTCACCCATTTGGTGAAGTAATCAATCCCCACAATGATGAACTTCTTTCCATCAATCGTCGTGGGCAATGGTCTGAGCAGATCTACTCCCCATCTGGCAAAAGGTAGGGATATGGTCATTGAGAGTAGAAATTGGCCAACCGGCCGGGGACAGGGGCACACTTTTGGCACATCTCACACTTCTGGGTGTGGTTGAAACAATCTTGCTGGATGGTTGACCAATAATACCCGTGCACAATGATCTTTATGGCTAAAGTCTGTGGCCCTTGATGGCTTGAACATATTCCTTCATTTTGAATACATTATAAATGTATTTAAAATTTATATCATAGTTATTAGTAAAGTATACAATAGTCACTATGATAACAATTTTAAATACAATTATAGTTATTGAAAGTCACTATGATTTGATAGGCTCGTTTCGTTCCTATCTTTTCACTCATATTTTGGGTGTTAATTGTCTAATTTTTATTTTAATCGGGTGACTATTGGGGGTTTTGAATGAAAATTTGTTATTTTTCGGTCCCGGTGGCATTCATTTTCAGTGTAGTATTTTTGTACACAATTTGACATTTTTGGAGTAATTTGATTGTAAAGTTACATATTATTAGCGGGTGTGGTGAGTTGTTATTGTATAGGCTGAGTTTGCGGTGAATTATTTGGGCCGGATCATTTAGGACTGTTTTTGAAGTTAAGTGCAATCCAAGAAAAAAAAAGGCACTAGCAGTCCAAAAGAGAAAAAAAAAAGTGCAGCAGGTTGTTCGTCTCACTAGCAGCCCAACAAGGAAAAGAGATGAGCTGGGTTTTCTCCCTGAAAACAACCCCAGCCGCAGGAGAAAATTCCATTTTTTTGCATTCTCTCTTCACTTTTGGATTTCCGCAGCCGCACCCAACAGTTTTCTTATTCTCTGGAGAAGCAACCGACAGCAACTAGAAGACCAAAACACCTGCAATTTTTCTTTTCTGTTCATTTAGCAACAAGCAGCCGGAGGTAGGAGTTTTTCCTTTCGTTTCTGAAATCAATTAGCCGCAGCAGCATTTTTTTTTCCCTTGTCTTCATTTAGCCGTAGCAGCAACTAGATCAAGCAGCAATTTTTTTTATCCTATTCTATGGAAGTAGCCGCACCAGTAAGAAAGGAAATCAGAACGGTTTCTAAGCTCCACTCTTCCTTCAATTTCTGCCAAGTTTATTTAGATTCCAAACATTTATTGTAAGTTAAATATATTTTACATTACTTGTTCTCTAATTAGGATTATATATTTTGAAGTTGTTTTTCTCCAACTGATAACTCAGTATTCTCAAACGATTATTCTACTTCAGTTTTTCTAACCTTTATCATGTTTATCAATATTACTGCGATGTTAATTTTAAGTATGATTAGCTAATTCCATATAGGGTTTGAATTGGGGCTAGGGTTCATGGGTTCTTGAGGGTGTGAATTTAGTTTTGAAATTCAATTAATTTTCTGAAAAATTGTATAAGTTTAATCATAATTGTCTATATGAATTCGATCACCTCATATATGAATTTTTGGATTTAATTCAATTCTTGTCTATGAGAAATTGAGTTAAATTAGCTTGGGTCTTATACAAGCAATCTGATCTTAGAAATAAGTTAGGATTGTGAAAATTTGATTTAATTCTTGTCTATGAGAATTTATTTCATTTTCTTTCCAGGAACAATTGAAAATTAATTTACTTAATTCTAATCCCGAAAGAACACCCAGAACCCGAACCATCCAATTTGAACCCTGTTTTAATATCCTGAATCAATTTAATTTAATTTTTTTTTCTCTATTTATTTTTGCACTCACTATTAGTTAGTTTTATTTTTAAACCACTCAAAAAATATTTATTCGGAAAGATTACCATGACTTGTGCTAGCCTGTGATCACGGACTGTATTTAAAACTTCCTTTTTGCCACTCCTTGAGAGACGATACTCGTGGTCTGGTTATTCTTATGATTAACCAACTACGTTTTACTCACTAAAAAAATACACCGATCAAATGGCGCCGTTTGAGTCAATTTTTTATCAATGACTTTGTATTAATAATATTTTAAGAAATACTACTTTATTTACATTTGTTGATTTTAAAATAGAAACAACATTTGAAAATAGAGCTAAACCATTTTCTATTTTTTTTTTAATTTTTACTCTATTTTTTTTGTTGGACTTTCTAATTTCTTATAGTATCTGTTGTCAATATTCTTGATTAAAATGCGTTTCAAACCTTTTCTTGTGAGTGTGTATGAGATGCCATCAAATCATACTTTGTAAGCCAAATAAATGTAAGAATCATACTCTGTATAAAAAATAAATATCCATAGTATCACCCTTGCAACAAGTCCATTAATAAAGTCTAAAGGACAATTACTTTCCAATTTTCCATGTTAAGAATGCTTCATTGGGTAATTGAAAAATGTACTTTTGCAGTTTAGCCAGGGGGTCAATAAACGTGTTCTAACACTGTTCACGCGGAATTCTCGTTTGAGCAGAAACTTCCAAACCCCTCTTGGTTGCAAACCTGAAACCCCCACTCCAGCCAATCTCTCAAACAGTAAGCACCGTCTCTTCTGGAGGAAGCCTTTCTCTGGTTAGTAACTCATTTTCTTTTGCAATAATAATAATTATATACTATTAATAACATTTCAATTCTAAAAAATATATATATCTCTGTATTTGCACTTTAATTTTCTTCATTGAAAGTTATTGCTGGTATGGTGCTGGTGCAATCTTTATCACTTAACAATTGTCTTCTTCTAGTGAGTAGCATTGAACTCCAGATCTAGGTTCTTAGCCCTTATTTGGTTGAAGGCTTTGGGAGGGACAGAAGGGGAAGGTGATAGTGTTTTACTAGTATTTATTGATAGTTATATTAAGATGTTTGGGAAAAACTGATTTCGAAAAATTACTAGTATAAATATGCATTATGTGAACAATTATATGATAAATATATTACTTTTAGTATAAGACTAAAAATATAGATAATTTAGTAAAGCAAAAATGAATACTCCTTTACCCCGTGTCCCTAATCATCAGCCAAAAGGGTTTATGATGATTCTATTCTGGGATGTTTTTTTCTTTATTAATTGAACTCATGGACGTTTTTTTACTTACTTTTACTGGCTCTTCCAGATTCCATTAGGTGGTGGAAGTTTTATTAATCTGAGGTTGTGGAGATAATTAGAAAGAATTTAACACTTGAGAGTGGTAGACAATGGGGAACGTCTTACCTAAACGATGCTTTGAGCCCAAGGTTTGTCTATGTATCCAATTTTTACACGATGATGCATTAAAGATCCCAACTTCTTTGTAGATATGAAGATTACATTCTTATCCTGCCATTGATTATGATCTTGATGGATTCAGTTGTCTTCCTTAGATTCTGTTGGTACTTGGTAGTCAACAGTGACTATTCTGCTCATCAGCATATTGATTGACCTATGCATTTTTGCTGAAATGGATGTTATGAAACACTTAAGAAAACTGAGCAATTCCACTGGCCTTTTAGTTAGGAAAATGTTTCCTTTCGAGTTTAGTCTACCTAGCCTTTTATTTAAAAAAAGAGGATATTAGTTTACAATGTAAGAACTATTTATGTAAGGCAACAGTCATAGGGCTAGACTAATAACATCAAATATGTAATGGTTCATGGTTGCATCTTATTTTCTCACTCTTCATCGCTTTTCATCTTAGTTGAACATTTTCTTTTGGCTGTGATTAAGAAATTTATGTCTCTATAAGTTATTGCTGCTAGTAGTATCTGGGTGGTCTGCTTTGTAAGGGGTGTTTGAATCTACGTCTTAAAACTGCTTCTGCTCTTGAGAGAGTAGAAGTATATATGAGAGTGTTTGGATGAAAGTGTAGAAGTACTTCTAAGTACTCCAAATTGTTCCTAGAAGCAGTTTTTTAGAAGCCGGGGGGACTAGCTTTTGGCAAACTGATTTTGATTCTACTTGTGCTTCTAAAAAAAGAAAGTAGAAGTAGAATCAATTCCAAACACCGTTGTAATATAGGGTTTTTAGTAGGTAGGAGTGAAGTGAGTGATTATGATTTGGATGATGAGATGATCTATTGCAATTTAGGGATAATAATTAACTAAGTTTGGTCTCAATTGAAGTCGCAACAACATCTACTCCTAGATTTGGTCTTCTTAGAGCTTTTGTTTGGAAACTGAAGTCCTGTTCTTTAAGATTCTTTCCATTTCCATGCCCCTTTTCTGGAAGCTGTATTTGCATTATACCCACCTGTAAGGGTATTGGCCTATTGGGTCCATTAGTAATGCTGAATGGACTGATAAGTTGACAGTATAAATTTATACTGAAAGGAATTAGATTTTCATGGACATGTTGAAGAGTGAAAGATTGTAGATTTTCATAGCAATGGGTGTTGAAAAATATTCTCCTTTAGCTAAATATGAAAGACAAAACCCTTTTATTATAACTAGACAATTCTAACATGTCAATACCTTTTTAGTGTTAAGTTATGCACAACCTTATGATCAACAGTATGTATGCTCTCATCCAGGAAGATTTTTGATCAATTAGTGTCAGCTTGGCCTATTGAAGTATGAAAAATGCTTTATTTTGGGAATGAGTAAATAACATGGTCCATATATTGCCTCAGAAGTCCAAAAATGATGGGGATGACTCGGACCATCATGTAGAACTTGCTGGAGGAAATGTTCAACTCATCACGAACGAAGAAAGTTGGAACCAGAAGATGGGAGAAGCAAAAAAAGATGGCAAAATTGTAATTATCATCTGTTCAATAAACTATTGTTCATGCTGTTTGTTTGCATTTAGTCAAGTGTTTGAGGCTCAGGACTCTTGTGCTAATGTCTTGCAGGTTGTGGCAAATTTTAGTGCTTCATGGTGCGGTCCATGTCGAACAATTGCACCCCTATACTCTGAGCTTTCCGAGAAACATCCTTCTTTGATGTTTCTCACTGTTGATGTTGATGAACTTTCGGTGAGTACATAATTAAAATTGAGTTATGGTGTTACATTTTCTCCCATTTCAGTACTCTGCTGTATTACGGTAAGAGGAAAAGGAAAACAACCATGTATTATTCTGTAAAAGCTGCATGTGTATATATACTTATACCCAGAGCCTTTAAAAGGTAGGTTCTTAATATAACTATGCTACTAGAATCCTCAACTAAGGAAACTCTCTTAGTAAATCAATTAATATCAAGCTAAAGTACTATATATAAATGTGAACAAAGCTGACATGAGTATATCGGGGCGCCAATAGACTCCCTTTTTCTCTTGTAGCGTTTTTAGGGTAACCTTTTTCCCACCTTTTTTAATTTTTAATTATTACTCCGTACTTCCCTTGTACCAAATCAATAAAGACTACATGACGGGATTGTGTACATATATATAATAGAAATTGCTTGGGCTGAATTTGTAATGTATCTCTTCATAAAAAATAATGTGTCTAAAGAAAAACTTCTGTTACACGGTCAGAGTTGGTGAGAAATAAGAATAGTAGAAACTGTTTGGAGAGAGAAATGTGCAGAAACACAAATTAGTTGCTTTAGTAAGAAAGTGGCAAAGTTTTTTGGGACAACCAAAAAGAGAAAGTTGGCAAAGTCCAATGGGACGGAGGGAGTATGAGTTGGGAAATGAGGCATTTAGAAAAGTGCGTAATAGCTTTAACAAAAAACACAAGCTTTTAGTTGAAAAGTTGTCTAGCACAAGTGTTGTTGTGTATTTGTAATGGATGAGAGTATTTACATACAAAGAGTGCATTTGGCATTACATTACCTGACTAACTGGTTAGTTTTCCTACAAAACTCTGAGTTATGTGGCTTCAGTAGTTGAACTGCCTTGTACTTAGAAAATAGTGTAGAAGTTACATTTGACCGAAATGAAGATATATAAATTACTCTTGATCTTTTTTACAACTTATTTCCTTAAAATAAATCTTTAGATTGTTTAACGTAATCGAGCTCATTAATTCTTTTCAATCACAATTTAAGCAACTCCGCCCTATTTAACCAAATTTCCTCCATCCAGACAAGGTCCAATTGTACATATCATAATGCAGAGAGTGAGAGTCCAAGTAATACATGAGGCCTTTCTTTTAAACTTAATTATTTAATTGCTGATCAGTTGCTACTCAGTCCTAGAAATTGTCAGAGTTGTTTACCTACACCGCAAGTACCGGACATGGTGAGTAACTTGTTCACTTTTAAATTGGAAATAAAACTTTCATCATTGTGGGATTGCAATAGAAGTTAAAGATTCAAATTTATAAAATACTTTTTCAAGGTTCTAATATTCGTAAAACTACAAATATCAAGATGTGTTTGGAGTTTGGACATGAAGGAGGATGAAGATCATGCTAATCTCTATAATGAATAGTTTAATCTAAAAATGCTTTATGAATCATGCTCCTTAATTCCTTATTGTTCATTTTTTGCTTTGTGTGTGGGCAAGACTTATAAGACTAGTATTACTAGAAATTTAAGGCATGTGTGTTAAATTATACCTATGCATGGGCAGAGTAATCAATGGTTACTCCCTAGATCCCAGTAGTCATTCCTAATGGACCTTTGACTGGGTAGCGGTACCGAGACGACACCGAGTAGCGGTTTGACTGCTTAGTCATCTGTGGTTCTTTTTTTGTCAGGATTTCAGCTCTACAACCTGGGACATCAAAGCAACTCCGACCTTCTTCTTCCTTAAAAGCGAACCAGGAAATGACAAAATGGCAGAAATCGACAAACTGGTGGGAGCTAATAAGCCGGAGCTTCAGAAGAAGATTACATCAATTGTAGACACCAGAGCTCCCCCGGCCCAGAAATAAGCATTTATGGAATTGGTTTTCTTTAGTTTCTGTGAGCTTCTTAAATTAGTTTTTTTCTTTTATTAAAATTCAAATCTATGTATATTGGCATATTGCAATTGTAAATGTGACTAAGGTTTTGGATGGCACCATAAATAACTCCATGAAAGAAGGGTTGGTGAAATAAATGCACTTTTTTGCCATGTGCTCATGATTTATGATACGAGTCATATTGGGACGGTTCTGATTCTGATTTTATTAGTTCAGCTGTCCAGATTCAAGAGTTTTAATTGAAACCTTGTGAACACTTGAGAATTCAGATCATATGCATATACTGATTTTTTTTCATGTACTCAACTCATTTAGATAATTTTAAGCACGAATATTTTTAAGAGAATTAGTATTTACAAATTACAAGAGTACAATCTTCTAACACCGCTCAGTGGGCAAGATTACAGATAATGTTTTACACCATAAATAATGGTCCGAGTTCTGATCTAGAACCATGACCCTGGCCAACCGTACATATTCTGTAATAAATTTGTTAGCTTCAAATATACTATGTAATACTCATTCATTCCTTTATAATTTTACGGTTTTGATGCCTTTAATTTCTTTTGTTGTCGTCTTTCTAACTTTGTCATTTTTCTTTCAAATAAAGAATTTAAGGTCCTTGTTAAATCTCTTTTCTTTGTATAAATCTCAACGACATATTTTATTATTTTATTATTTTGTCTCACTCAACTTTGACGAAGTTACTCCGTATATGGAAGAAGAGAGTATTACCACAATCCTTAAGTGAAGTTCAATTCATATTAAAAAAATGAGTTGTTTTTTCCTAAGAAAAAGAGTTGTTTCGAAGCGAGAACGAGTAGATATGAATTGAACTTCACTTAAGGACTATGGTGGTGGTGGTGGTGGGCAAGAGCTGTGCTTGATGTATACATTTTGGTGTACACCTTTTGTACATTCGTCTGTTTTGTGCACACAGAATTGTTTGTACACAGATAACTTTGTAGAGTCTTAGGATCTGTACACAGACCCTCGTCTATCATGGGCAAAGCTCCTCGATTTATACTCTAGGATCTGTCCTGCACACATACACAATGGCGGATTTGGAATTTGAATATTGGGTGTTCAATGCTTTTTTACAACTACAAATTTAAAGAGCAATAAATAATTATACCTAATTTACATATATATACCTACATATTTTTAAAACATTTGGGTGTTCATGAGAACCCCTTTGAACATGAGTGGCTCCGCCACTGCACATACACAATCTCAAAGTCGGCCTATGTACGGTAAAGTGTATTTAGAATAATGTGGGAACAAATTAAAATTGTCTATTTTTTTTCAATGAATCTCAAAGATTGTTTCATACCAAATTTGATAAAATTTTTGTAGTTCTAACTTATTCTTATTTTATTTTTAGTTTATCAATTCAATAACAATAACATAATTTCACTTTTTTTTAATAAACGTACTACATCCTCATATCCCAATGTTAATGGAATGAAAATAGTAATAGTAATATTTAATAGACAAAGCTAAATAAACGTTCCTAAAAAAAAGATAAATAAACGAAAAATTGACATTCAAAACGTTTTCACCTTAGACTCGATTATTAGATGGGTTACAAGCTAAGTTTTCTGTCCTTTTTTAAAATAAAAAACCCAGATTTAGAAACAAATAAATTCTGAAATGAAGTTTGATGTTGACTGTTTTTCAAAACAAAAACGATTAGTACAAGTATATTAATTTAATTCATTAATTATACATGTAACTTTTAGAATTATACTCCCTCTTGGAATATTCCCGGTTTGACCTACACACATATTAAGGAAATAAATTTACCAAGGGGTAAATTTTACTGTTTGGACACTGTTTGGACACTGTTTGACACTGTTTTGCACTATTTGACACTGTTTTGATGTATGATAACTTTCCATTTAGGAACTTTCCATTGGGACATCCAAAAAAGGAAAGTGAGAACATTCTAACGGGACGTAGAGAGTATATTACGAGTATTATATAAAAACAACTGGCAACCACTATAAACATGGCCCTACTTTTTAGTCGGGAAGTGCTATACTTCGTAATAAGCATTGACATTTGTATGAAACAAAGAATTTGGACAAACTGGAAGCGTGTATGGGGCTAGTCGGGGAGACCATGCTGTTCAAGATTTATGACAAGGAGTGAAGGAGGATGCAACAATTATCACCATCATCAATATTATTATCATTATTATCATCATCATAATTGTTGTTAGGGAAAATCACACTTGTAATCCTTCAAATAGTCACCATATTGAAATGTCAGACTTATATTTCCGAGATTGTAAATGTCAACCCTCAATTGTCCAAATTGATATAAATGTGGTCCTTTGAAGGGTGAAATGTACTCCTCACCAAATTGTACATTTCACCCTTCAAAGGACCACATTTACAACAATATGAATAATTAAGAGGCGACATTTACAAACACCAAAATACAGGTATAACATTTCAATATAATGACTATTTCAGGGACTTAAAGTGCGTTTTCCCCTTGTTATTCTTATTACTTCATACTCCGTATTTGGTAATATAGTTTTTTTTATCTTATTAACCAAATTCTACTAGAATCTAATTTTTTTCACTTATCATGGTGCATCGGATATAATGAAATAGTAAAAGTGAATATACTTTTTCAATTAAATTAAGGAAAAATAATTAAAACACCCTAAATTTTTAAGTGGTATGAGATAAATACCCCAAACTTTATATAAAAAGTTATTCCAACACCATGGTCATGTATCATTTTTCCCATTAAATTAATATGAATTTGCCTGATTATGTAATTGCATTCACAAATTAAAGGGCAACTCAGTGTGCATGTCGTCTTGAGGAAGGGTCTCACTACAAGAATCTATATATAAGGAGTAAATGTTCCCTTATTATTTTGACAAACCGCCACTCTTAAGATGCGGGTTAGGGTGGCGCTTGAGGAACTAGGAAGGTCACTTCGTGGCAGGGGCATCAAACCCATGGCCAGGAGTGCTGACAGCGTTGGGTGTCGAGCTCGTAAGCATCCGGGAGGCGTTGAGTTGGTTAAAGGAGTATGGAATTACCTCGGTGGAAATTGAATCTGATGCAGATGGGACAATTTCAGAAATCCAAGGAGGTTCAAGTTGCTCTTCGGTGGGACTTTTGAGAGACGGCATTAGAGATATAGCAGATTTATTTTTGTTCATTTCATTTTGTCATGTGAGGCGATCAGCGAATAAGCCAACTCATTTGTTAGCTAGGGCGGCTAGCTTGTTCTTTGTTGATTTGCAGTCTTGGGTTGAATTTCCTCCTGCTTTCATTGTTTCGGCTTTAGCCAACGATTTAATTAATGATAATTAACTATCTTCCATTCAAAAAAAAAGATTTGAAACCGTAACCTTTTAATCTCACAACACCATAATTGGTGCGCTAAAGCTCCATTTTTTTTTTTATTTTCATTCATCTTCAAACAATTTCAATTTTTCAATCTGACTCAATGAATTTTGCGTTACAAAGTGACTCATATTAATATCATAATTATCATTATTGTAAGTTCGGTATTGTTGCCTTTATCGCAAATATATTATCGGTTTCTCAAAAAGGGGTGTATACATTAATATCTACAAAAACATATAGTGTAAAGTGTAAACACGTATTTGCAACAAATGGAAGCTAGTGTTTAGCGATACCCAAAATGTGAAAAATTAGGACGGTCCAGGCGTAGTGATCTTATTGTCGGTGTTCTGGAAAATAAACAAATTCTATAGTCCATACTCCATAATAACAAAATAAGAATCAACATCTATATTTATGTGTATGTATATATATGGAAATAATGATAACGACATTAAAACATCACAACCGAACAAAAGCTCTTCAACGTTATGGGTACAAAGAACAAGCACATTTCTTTCCACTGTCAAGCTGTAAATTCAACTTGCAAAAAAAGTATGTGAATTAATTGAAGGCGATCCTTCCTAGCATTAAGAGTAAAAAAGAATAATAGTAATATAGTACACACTACATAATTGGATTAAGATTTGGTCAACGGCCCTTGGGGTTCATGATCTGTGAGAAGACAACACTGGGTGTCAACCCGTCCGAGTCCTCGCTGGCGACACTCCGACCCCCGATACTCATCGATATACCACTGCTAGAATCAGTCGTCACGCTTCCATCAAACCCGGTATGGGACGAGGCATCGGGATCCTTCTTTGCTTTATTATTGCCAATGGCACCGTACCCATCTTCAACCTTGTCAATTCCCACAATGCCCTTCCCGCTCTCCTCAGCGCTCTCTTGAAGCTGTAGTGCAAACTCAAGGTTCCAAAGTACATCCCCCATGGACGGCCTTTCGGTCCCCACGTCGCTCACACACTTGACTGCCGTCTCCCCAAATTTCTTGAAACATTCTGGCGCGATCTTACCTTTCAAATACGGGTCGGTTAGCTGGTCAAGAATACCCTTAGTGTGGCAATGCAATGCCCATTCCGCTAAGCTCACTTGCTCCTTCGGTAGAGTGGGGTTCAAAGCCGGGCGCGCACACAATATCTCAAAAAGGACGACTCCAAATGAATAGACATCTGATTTTTCAGTGAGTTGCTGTCTTCTGAAGTATTCGGGATCCAAATACCCAAAACTACCCTTCACCACTGTACTTACGTGGGTGTGATCAAGAGTGGGGCCCGTCTTCGACAGCCCAAAATCTGAAACCTTCGCCACCCACTTCTCATCCAAGAGGATGTTAGTAGTTTTCACATCACGGTGGATAATGGTGTGTTTCGCGCCAGTGTGGAGATAATGCAACCCGCGGGCTGCGCCTATGCAGATCTCTAGCCTTTGCTTCCATGGTAATGGGGGCTTTTGTGTCTTGTAAAGATGCTCACGCAGAGTCCCATACGCCATATAATCATACACAAGAATCATCTCACAGTTCTCTTCACAGTAACCAATCAGAGAGACGAGGTGACGGTGACGAAGCTTAGAAAGCATTTCAATTTCTGTTTGGAATTCGTGAATGCCTTGTTCTGAAAGTGGGTTACCACGTTTAATGGCAACTTTTACACCCCCATCAATCTCTCCTTTATAAACTTTCCCAAAACCTCCAACTCCGAGAAGAAGAGCTTCGTCAAAGTTTTTAGTGCCCGCCTTGATCTCTGCAAATGAGAAGTGCCGGCAAAGGTTTGCGGGAAGTGAGGAGGCATAACTTCC